TTTGAGTTTAAAAAATTTATTTACTTGTTATTTCTATTTTTGCCTGTAGGCAAATCTAATTTTTGTTTTTCATTTTCTAAGCTTATTTGTCTATTTCTGCTAATTTTTTCTTTTTCCTTTCACCCATTCCCTCCCATTCTATAATTACATCAAGAAAAATAATCACTCTGCTTAAATTAGCTGTTTTTTAAAAAAATTCTAAATGGCCAACTCAATGCAGTTAGTCGGGAAGCATTTGTTTAATGTAAAAATAGATTCTCCTGACAAAAATAACATTGAAGAGTACCCAGTATTAAAGGTTACTCCGAAAACTGATAATACAGAGGCCAGTAATAGACAAGGTGTGACCATTATCAAAACTATGGAGGCCAATAATGCCTAAAATAGTATGAAGGCAAAAAGCTAACAATTCAGGGAATCACCCTGTTGTTGGAAGTCCCCAACAAAATGTATTATCAATATTGCAGAGTTTTGGGAGCATGTCAAGAGTTACGCTGACCTTATAGTAGAAGGTGGACTCTTAGAAGACCCCTAAGAACCAAACAAGATTGAAAAAACAATCGTGTTAATCTTTGTGGTGGACAAGCACTCGTGTAAAATTAATCACTACACAAAAGACACAGTGGTGAAATCAGTGGAGTCCCAGGGGGGTTAAGATACAAGGAATCGTTAAGGGTGCAGGCTTCTTCATGTTGGACATATTGCTACCCATGCCAGAAGATTGCAAGAAAGTTTTGCGTCAGGTTCTTATTATTAGGACCGAATACAAAGGCATGCATGTGACCACTAGCAATATTCAAGGTCCCTCCTCAGGTTATCAGAGAATATCTGGCTGTGTTCCTTTTGCAATAGCCTAAACATGGGATGGAATTTTGAAATAATGATGGATTTTAAAGCCTTCTTTTCCATGCCCAACTGTCTGGAAGTAGGGGGCCTGAAGTTGCCAGTCATTTTGACCAGTCATAAACCAACATGTTGGAAATGTATAGAGGCTGGACATCTCTCCTCTTCCTGCCCATAGAAGAAGGAAAGCAAGCCTTGGTTGACCAAAATCCCCCTTTGACTGTCTTTAAGTTCTGCCATGCTTGTAATGGGCATGCCAGCTTCCAGGACCAGTGTGTTTAAACCCCCGGTTGGGTCAAGCTCTCAGCCCCATTCCCTGAAAAGCCTTCGCCCCCTGCTATTGCAGTTGTGGAGAAGGGAGAGGGAGGAATTGCTGGTAGGGTCAGAGAGAAGTGCACAACAACAGGACATCAGTCTCCTGAAGCCCTGGGACAAAAGACACTAAAAGACCCACTCCCTCTACCAGCATTAAGAGTGATGCCCCGGCCTCTAAAGTGAATACTTCTTTGGGGGAACAGAAAAATTTATGATCCCAGATTTGAGAAAACTGAAAAAATTAAAAAACTCAAGACCTAATTAGATGTCAACAGGAAATTTTCATTTCCTAAAAAGATCGCTCTTTCCTTGACCTCTACCCCATGCTCCCCTGTTTCAAAATCATTTTCATCTACACACTAGTCCCCATGTAAAACTAGTTCACTTGATAGAGATCCCATCTCCTTTAGGAAAAGTACACCTCATATCCTACTCCCACTCAGTGTAGTGTATTTTGACTGTCATTTGTACTGGATCAGGGATGTGGATTATGGTCAAGGAGGCCATTAAATCATATAATATGTTGCTCTCTATAGCCATTCTTGATAATGAAAATATAAGAAAAATAAAACTTCTATTCAGGGAGGATTTTGTTCACCCCTCTCTTTATAGAGCACTAAAACTTTTTCTTGGGATATTGGCACTATCAAGAATGAGAGGGACCAGGGGACAATAGTTCAAGCCAGGTTTCCAACTCTAATCGGACTGACAATGGCTCTCTGGTTAGCAAGTTAGAATGCTGAGGTTGGAGTCTGGTGGGGTGTGGCTTGCTCACAATATTCAGTGTCTCAGGGTGCATGTGTTCTGTTTACAGGAGACCTGGTTTTTTAACTTGTGATCATGATATTCTGTCTAGGGGTTTACCCTCTGTTCAGCATGCTTTGATAGACACTTGAGAGGTGTTTCCTAGCTAATGAGCAAATCTGTGAATGTGGTATGTGCTCTTGTCTTCTTGGATCTGGCAAGCGGGCTTTGAGTGCTGGATATTACCATAAAGGATAAGGCTCTTAGTCACTGGGCGCATAAGCCCCAATAAGACAATGCAGAGTCACCTGATTAGTTTTGGCAGATCAAGCTGTTTTTGATAACATCACATTCAGTAGTTCTAGTGGGAGATTAGAATGCTGCCATGGATCCCGATATAGATCGTATAGGGGAAAGATTGGGTACTAACAACTCAGTTGTTAAGTCATTTCGGGACTTTATCGATGGGTTTGATCTCGTCAATAAGTATCAAAATGAGCATCCGCGGGAGTAGCATGGACTTGGACTAAGTGATAGCTTGGATTTGGTGATGTGTTCTAGCTATATCAAGCGAGTTCTAGTTAAGAGAGTCAACATTAGGTTGTCCAAGTTTCCATTATATAGTTTACTTGGGTTTCCGGAAATTGAATGCATCATTATTTGGTGAGCAAGATTTCTTGGACCAGCTACTACTAATGTTACAGTAGGAATTGATGGGGGCTGTGGGTGGGATTGTTTATAATCCAAACTTAGGTCTTTTGCTGCTAATTTTAGTTGCTGACTCAAACTAGAAGGTTTAGCAGAACTGTACTTTTCCACTTGGATCCAACTTCTATATGTGTGTCCCAGTGGTGAATGGAGTAAGATGGAAACCCTTTGTATTGTCTTGCTCCATTCATCAAGGTTGTTTGCTTTTGCATTTTCTGTAGGTTCTTGCATTGGAGCCCTTCCTCTGTGAGTAAAAGATGAATCTGGTTCTTCCTGAAATTGACAGTCGGCAAAGAAATCAGAGGGCATGAGATGGTGACATGGGCTAGGATCAGCTGCTATAAGTCTATTGGCCTGTGATTGGGTTTGTGGAGGGGAGTTTCTCTTCTCGGATCTTTCCTCTGGATGGATGGGTCGAACAAGATACTTGGTGTCTAGACTGGTCCCAATCTCCTCTTGGAAATGAGGTGCAGGAGACAGCCAAGGTTTCAGTTTATCTGTGGTCTTGGCAGAATCTTTCCTTGAAGGGGAGGTCAGCAGTATGTGCCTCATACATCTACCCAATTCTGCTTTACTGACTGTCTGTATTTCCACTCTTGCCTGCCAATCTATTGGATTTCATAATGCTCTTGTTCTCCTTCTTGTGGCGAGGCTTCCAAGGTATGTCATGAGATCTGTTACCTCTGCTCTTCTGAGTGTGGTCTGGGTGTGCTTTGCATTGAGATTCATCAACATACACTTCCATCTCTTACCTGGACCGGATATGTTTGCAATTGGATGAGACTGGCAAATTCTGGAAGAAAGATGCCTGTAAGAACTTCCTGTCCTTGAGAAGTGTGTGCTTGTGGGAGGAGGAAGCCAACCATTTACCCTGAGTTCATTGCTCCTTCTATTGTGAATGTCAGCTTACTCTCAAGTACCACTTATGGGTGATAGATGTACTTTACAACGTCCATCTGTTGTCCTATAAGACATTAGATCAGATGTTAGTGATGGGGAGCATTCAGGATGATTTGACAGGTGAACTTGGTCTGATGAATCAGGAGGCTTGCTCCATATGGCCTTGGGCATCTGGGTTGAAATATCTCACTAATAATAGTACTCACTTGGCTAGTGATTCAAGGGGCCCTCTAGGACAGCAAGAATCTTTGGCTGGTTTGAAAACTGCATTCACTGTGATGAGGTGGTGGAGACCATTGGTCATGCCTTCTTTCATTGCAGGATCATAGATCTGTTGTGCAAGTTTGTTGAGGGCATCATGGTTTGTATGCTGTGTGGAAAGTTCTTTGTCCTTGCAGCCAGTTCCGTTTGTAGCAATATCATACTGCTATTGAATGTGTGTTCTTTTGCTTACTAGGAGTTATATCTAGTTATGATATGGATGCTGCTGACAAGGAAGTCCATGGGGATGGGAAGTTTACCTCTTCCCAACTGAACCTGTTCTTTAAGCATCAGCTTAAAGTCAAGATTAGGACGGAAAGCAAACAACTCCATCCCTTAGAATTTAGCAAAAGATGGGTGAGTCTTACATGCTTGTGCCAAGTGAATAGTTAGGCATTAAGAATATTGGGATTGCTGTAGTGAACATTGGCAATCCCACCCAAAATTAGGGCAGTATAGGCTTGTTTTTTCTTTAGTTTTTCTTAGCCAAGATATCTTAGCTAGGGGATGTATACACATTGGCCCCTTTTATTTTTTTTGCCTCTACCCACTTTCTTTGGTTAATTCTCCCTCCCCTTCCTATTTTTCAGGTGTGAGTTTTTTTCATTTGCTGTTGTGTTTGAATGGGTGCGTGTATTTCTGTAAGTAGTAGGATGAATGAGTGCTTTTTGATTATTTAAGTCCCGCATTAATTTTGTCCAGTTAAGTGATATTCTGCCACATTTAGTGATTAGGGAGGGGTGTTATTACTAATACTATTTTGTTTTGTTTATTGTAAATAAATCTTGTTTTCCATTGTAAATATTCATTGGGGGTTTTAAAATTTTAAAAATTGCTATTGTATTCCCTTCTCCCACAGACAAAATTGTACATATGGGGACTAGTTAGGACTTCATAAAATCTCTGAGGTAGTATGGTGAATGGTAAGTGAGAATGTTGTTTTGAACAAGGATTATTATGGCATTTTTGGGTTAGTGATTGTGGCTAGCTAAGTTTTAATTTAAGACAGTTGAAGACCAGCCTTTGCCACTCCCCTTTGTTGGCTATTTTTGTACATTTGTGCAATAAATAATAACAGTTCTCAGAACAGACTCAATTTGCAAATACAGTCAATGACTGGTCAGTTTGTTCAACTAAATCCTACAATAGCTAGATTTCTATTCTTAAAATATTAATTTTTTTCAAATTTAAACATTTTTATTTTTGTGGTTTTCTTTTAATTATTGCAGGCTGTACAAGCAGTCAACCTTGGCCATGACCAGTGTCATGCTCAGATGGATGTCAAATTCCGTTCCATCATTTGTTGTGGACTTAAGTAAGTCAATTTTAAAATTAATCATGTTACAAAAATATCTGTAATATCTAGTTTTAAATATTGTACAAAAATATAAACAAAGAAAACAATGTGGACTTTAACCTGCACCAAATGGAGGTTAAAAATTTCACTTTGACCATTAGTTTATAGTGGGTGGGGAAGAAGTATTTAAACACATGCAAATATTTATCTAATATTTTACATTTTTTTAAAATTTATACAGGTAATGTATTTTAACTTAAAATTAACAATTATTAAGAAAAAATTCATAAATTAAGACACAATGCAGAATAAAATATGAAGAAAAGTACTTTTAATTAAAAAGTATTTAGGCCCTTAAAATATTATTCAGTTAGAGATGCAGATCTTTCTGTGCCTGTATGGATACTCTTGGAATCCAACAGCAATATTTCACCTTGTTGGAATTATGAGTTTTATACAAGTGCCAAGATATAAATTTTGTTTTTGCTCTGGCTTTTAAGAGTTAAGGCACAAAGAAAACAAAGAAAATAGCCATTACTTTCCCCATTTAACAACAGATTGTAGGTAATTTTTGAGATCAGCTTCCAATTTGCTCTTCTGGAACTGATCAGACAGGAAAAAAATAGTTATCAGCATAGATACTAAGCTGAGACTTGATGACATCAGAAAGGTCATTTATGAAAATTAGGAACAACATTGGTCCAAGGATAGAATCTTGGGGAACACCTGTATTAATGCAAGAAGATCTAGAAGAGTAGCCATTTGAAACAACTTTCATTGAAAGAATGAATCATTTCAAAAATTTATCCAGAGTTACCATAACCTTTCATCTTGTGAAAAAGACCAGTATTCTAACCCTGTGAAATGCATTTGAGATATCCAAAGCAACAGCCTAAGCTTCACCATTCTTATCTAAAGCTTGATAGTCTTTTAGCAGTAATTGTTCACATCAACAATTGATCTACAGAGGTGAAAGCCATATTGCTTATCTGAAAGAAGACCCTGTGAAGTGAGATGCTTAATAAATTCACAAAGCCTCTAGTACTTTTCCAAAAAGATGTAGAAGGCTAATAATATATATAATTCAAATGATACTGGGATCCCCTTCGGAGTCTGCAGCTTGTTTTTGTAGTAACTTTAATTTCAAAGTTCTGGTCTTCAGGTTCAGCACAATGTCTTGGTCAGGCAGTCTCAGCAAACAATGTGGATTCCAGTAGCAGTTGTGAGTGGACTGTGTCTCTCTCTGTCTTTTACTTGTAGGTCTGAGTTCAAAATCTCCAACTTATGTGGAGTCCTGTGTCCGGCAGGGGTGGAGTTGACTAGGGTCTCAATTTGGTTGTCTTCTACCCTAAGCATCAAGCTTTTCTAAATTTCCTTATATAAAAATTGCATTTACTCAAGTAGTTTTTCAAATTTGGCATTGTCCAGCCCCCTTTTGAGAATGTTCAAAGTGATCAAGCCACCCCTTAACTCCAACTCACTTTATGCCTCACCTCAAAACACAGCTCCATATAAGTAGTGCTAATCCCTCTCTCTCTCTTCCTTCTCTTCTCCCACAGCAGCCAACCTCAGACAAATCCAACTTCCAGATGGTGCAGTGAAATTAAAAGGGATTTTTAGTCTTTAATGCTTGCGTATCAGCTCACCCCATGCTGGGATCTCTCAATCGACCAGACCACTCAAGAATTGGCAAAAGAAAGAAAAAAATTATTTCCATTTCTCCTTAAAATGAGAAACTTAATCTTTTCTCTGTCTGATGCATTTTCTTACAATTGAACAGATCACCCAGCCTTCTTGTCCATAGTCACTTCACTTTTCCTTATGATTTGTGTCCAAAGGAATCTGAATTAATGTTTGGATATAAAATTTTTCTGGATGAATGTCATAGAAATTATAATGATAAATGTGCCAGGTTGGTCCTTATCTTTGTGGGGATGCTTTTTTTTTCTGGATGGTTGATTCAAAACAGATGGTTTTTCTTGGCCCTTTTTGTCTGGAGAAATTGTGAATGTTATTCATTTCAGTGACTGCTCTGGTTTCCTTATCATCAACATATGTTTTTATTTATTTTGACATCTTTGTGGATACCGTAATAGTCTTTTTCTTATTGCCGGGAAGTAGGGATAGATGGGTAATCTTTGTTTTGCACAATCTTATTGAATTTTGTCTAGTTAAATTTGAGTTTGATTCTCCTTGGAATTATCTCAAAAAATAATTTTTTCAATATATTTTGTTTTTAATTTTCTTCACTTTTCAATCCATCTTCCTGAAATTTAAACAATTATCCCATTAGTAGACTCTCTCTTCCTTCTTTCTTTCTTTCTCTTTTTGTATTTGATCGATCTCCACCGATCCCAGTGTCACACATTACTTTTAGGCTCCCAATACATTTCTTCATTGCTATCGTGTTGCAATGTAACTTGGTCTGCATACGCTAATATCCCATTTCCATTTTTTTCTATTTTAGTGTTCTGTCCACTCTGCATTATGAATCTTGCCTCTTGTAGATTAGATTCACTATTCTTTTTATCTTTAGGATATGGTTAATGTAGCTCTAATTTGTCTATCCATGTGAGTGGACAGGCTTTTTGATCTTCCAGCATGTGGTATTGTCCTTTAACTTAGCAACAATCTAGGAAAAAATGTTTCAACCATTTCTTTCCATTGTACACATATTTTCAATCCATTTTTTTATGGTTTGCACCATCCTTTCTGCTAATCTGTTTGATTGTGAATGGTATGGGTAGAGTATATGGTTTACATCCAATTTAATTCAACCATTGGCATTGTTCCTTTTCACAGAATTCTGTGACATTGTCAGATAATAGTGTCTTCCAAATTACATTTCTTGAAAATATGATCCTTAATGCTTGTTTCATGGTCTATTTGTCGTCCATATTATGGCCAATTATTATTAATATTTGAGTAATTCAATTCAGCTTTTGACAATTTTCTCAAAAGTTACATAATAAGATGACCATCCCTGAAATTGAGTGTTTCTCTAAGGTCAAATATTTTTACTACTGGCTTCTTTGCCAGAACAGGTTTTAAATTTTCAAATGCCACTTGTTCTTTTGTCCAAATAAATTCTTTTTTCTTAAAGCAGCAAAAGGTTCTGTCAAATCGGAGTATTGTCTGTAGAAAAGTCCTAAAAAAGATTCCTATTCTTTTTTGTTCTTAGACAATTCATCTTTTAATATTTTGTCAATTAACAATTGGTCTAGTGATATACCTTCCTTAGATATGGAATATCCTAAAAATTATAATTTTTTTACTGTTGTGCAGACATTTCTTTTCATTAATTGTTAATCCAGTATGTTTTTAACTTATTCAAAACCATACTGATTTTTCATTTTAATTCTTCATTGTTAATAGCACCAGCACAAATGTCATCCTGGCAGCATATTATATTTTTTTTATATCTCTACCACTAACTTGCCCTTTGAAAAATCGCACTTGCAGTTTTAATTTCATATAGCATTCGTTTCCATCTTAATAAGCCTATTAGTGTGTTTATTGTTGTGACTGCTTTAAAGTCTTTGTCAATTGGTATATGCTGACTTTAGATCAATTTTAGAAAATGCACATAAGGGAGTTCAAAGCCCATTCAATATTAGGGATAGGATATGAGTCTGCACATAATTTGTGGTTTACACCTACTTTGTAGTCACCACAAAAATGCAGACCACCATCAGTGGAATTATTCCACTTTGGACATCTACTTCCAAGGTAACAGGATACCTTCTTCAACTCATCTATCCACTTCCTTTTCAAATTACACTCTCTTCTCTTCTTGCATGGAATTCTCATATAAGCTCAAACATAAGGTTAGGCCAGTACTAGACTTTAGGTAGTTAAATACATTCGTATCATGCCACATGGGAAGTGATGATATCGATGTGTGTGGAGAAACCAAGTGGTGAGAAAGGAGACAGATGATGGGTTCTGCTACAATTGTAGATCTGAAATCAGCATATCTGCAATTACATGTAACAGAGAAACTGTGGCAGTACCAATTTGTAAGGTACAAGGGGACCAACTATTGCCTTATTAGATTGAGATTTCGGTTGAACATCGTGCTGAAAATCATGGCGGCAGTGTTCAAGACTCTACTGAAGGAGGAGAAGACAATAGGGCAGGCCACAAACTCCTATATCAATGACATCCTGGTGGATGAGACGGTTGTGTATGCAGAAAAAAGTAAGATGCCACCTCAAAAAATATGGATTAATATCAAAACCTTCAAAGTCACTTGATGGGGGAGCAGCACACAGGCTAAAGTTGCAGAAGGATAAAGAAACTAGAGAGTTTGTGTTCCAAAGGGGTAATGAAATTCCACCTGTGTTGAATAAACGAGAATTGTTTTCGACATGTGGGATGCTTATGGCTGGATAGTTGAGAATCGTATGCAGCTATATAAAAAGACAGGCAGAGGAGATAAGATGGGACAACCGATTGAGTGACAGAACACTCAAGAGGTACCAGTGAGAGGAAAATGGCATGTACCAAAGGTGGATGATGGTGAAATTTCGTGTGATGCAATTAGCATAGGAATGGGAGTTGTATTGGAGGTAGCGGATATCAAAGTGGAGGATGCTGCTTGTTTGAAGAAAAAAATGGATGCCAACAATATAAATGTAGTAGAATTGGAAGCAGTAATGAAAGGCATCAACTTGGCACTACAGTGGGAGCTGAAGAACATAAAGGTGAAGATGGACTCAGCAAAAGTGTTGGCGTGGGTTGAGTCTGTTATTATGAAGGAGAGCAGGATACAGACTAAGAGAGCAGCAGAGATGCTCATAAAGTGTAGATTGGGAATTCTGGAGGACGTCAAGAGTTTGACCTACAGGTTAAAGTCAGCCTTGTATCCTCAGAGGCTAATAAGGCCGATGTGTTCACAAGGGTAAGGATAGCTTGGATGAAAATGCTCCTTGATGCAGCCAAAGAATATGCTATGGGGGCATTAAAAAATTGCACAAGATGCACTACATGGGTGTTGACAGGACGTTATATTTGGC